ATGGAACCCTCGCAGTATAACGTCAATAGAACCTTTGCAATATATAATAACTAATGGTGACCCTGATGTGATTCAGGAAAAGGATTTGAATACTAAACTATATGACCCTGTGATTTGGGAAAAAGGACTTGAATACTAAGCCACATGACCCTGTGGATTTGGGGAAAAGGACTTAAATACTAAATTATTGGTAAAATATATCAATTGCCGCTATTGATGTTTGTTAAATATGAGTAGAAAAGATTTTGAAGATAAGTGCTTTGTAAACTGAGAAAAGCTGCAAAACTGAACCAACACTCAGAAATATGTATATATTCATACTATATATTTGTAATATGTTGTCTGAACATTTGTATAGCTATTGGTTCTGAATGAAATGTATTAATATGTCATAATGTTAATTTATTTGAATATGTACTTCTAGAGATGCTGCAACTCTAATTAAAAGAAAAAGGGGAAATGGTAGGTGGATACAGTATGGGTAAATGAAGGTAGTATAGAATGTAATCTTACAAAAGAGTTGCAACTGAACCAATTACTAAAGATTAGAAGCAGGCCTGATGCTAACAGGCCACAGCTGTAGCCAATAAGAAGAGTGTTATAAAAGAGTGGATTGGTTGGTTGAGGGAACTGGAGTCAGTTGGCTGCTGTGAGGACAAAGAGTCAGTGCCTAGAGGAGCTGCCTACAAGAAACATTGAGGTATGATACTCTAGCAATATGGAACCTTTGCCATGTATGACAACAATTTCTCTCGGGCCTCTGGAAGAGCTGCCTCCTTTGGAGCAGCAGCTGGAGGCTGAAAAAGATGCCCTCGAATGTCTGAGAGGCACAAGACAACTGAGTTTTAGCTCATAAATTGCCCTCTAGGTGGGTAAATATGTGCTCTTTGCTGAAAAAATTAGATGCAAGCCAATTCCACCCAATAACTGAATTTCAAAATCCCTTCCATCCCTCCTACCTGCACACAAAGGGAGAGAAGATCCTACAATACCTGCATGGGTTCAAACAGCAGATGAAGATGAGGAGCCCCCTTCCACACCCACACCACAGAGCAGGACCAACCTGAGGAAAAAATGTGTCTTTTTTTCTGGCAGATACCAAACTGTACTTTGGCTCTACCATCTGAGGCCCCATCATTCTTGGATTTTTGGTGGTTTTCTGAGGCAATTCCACAGGCTCAGGGAGAATTTATCCTGTCTTGAGCCAGAAGACAATACTCATCAGTCCCTCCAACATTTTGGGATCTGCTCCAGATGAGAAATTGGTAGAATTACACAAGACAAGAAGAAAAAATTATCCTCTTATAGTAGCACTGAGTTTTGCATGATTTAGCCAAATAATTTGCACACACATCCTGTCTTCTTCTAAACAATGAATATGATTTCTAATTGGTTTCTTGGGAAATCATATTTGTATCTTTTTAAGATGTTAAACAAAATTGATTTCTTCTGTATTAATCTGTCCACGTTAATTTTCTGTGCACTGGACTGATGGAAATAATGAAGCACCCCTTGGCTGACAGAGTCTCTTTGAAATGCACTCTGAAGCTTTGTAAATAACTGAAATGTATTATTATTAATTTAGTTATGTCCTCTGGGATGCGCCAGGATATGTCTGAATAAAGGGTTAAAAAGGTAGGTCAAATCTGACTCCACTTTCCACCCCTCACCTCTGTGAATCACATATTTAACTATTTAAAAATTATCATTAAAATCTACATCCATCACACAACCTGCACTCACATCAACAAAACCAACTAAACAAAGCAAGAGAAGTTCCCCACACGAAAATCAAAATAACATCATCACAACACAAAACAAAAATTGGCCATTCACACAAAATCCACCCCTTGTGCCTTCACCACAATTACAGCAAAATTCACCATGAACATTCTACACTCTAACAATGTTCAGTCCACATTTTGCCCAATCTTTCCCAATTACCATCCTTATTTCAAAATCATCATGGTCCTGGGTTTCAGCACCAAAAACATGGTGGTGGCTTCACCCTGGCTGGATGCCAGGCACCCACCAAGGCCACTCTGTCCCTCCCCTCCTCAGGTGGACTGGGGAGAGAAAATGTAATAAATGGCTCATGAGTCAAGATAGGACAGGGAGAGATCACTCATCAAATTCCATCATGGGCAAAACAGGCTGAGCTTGGGGATATTGATTGAATTTATTAGTGACACAATCAGAGCAGGATAATGAGAAGTAAAAATAAATTGCAAAAATAACTTCCTCCCATCCCTTTCTGCTTCCCAGCTCTCCCTCCTCCCCCCCAGTGGCACAGGGAGATGGCCCTGCTCCAGTATGGGATCCCTCCCATGGAGACAGCTCTCCGTGGACTTCTGCAATGTGATTCCATCCCACAGGGAACAGTTCTCCATAAATTGTTTCACTGTGGGTTATTCTTCCATGGGGTCAGTCCCTCAGGCACAGCCTGCTCCAATGTGGGTCCCCACAGGGTCACAAGTCCTGCCAGGAATCCTGCTCCAGGGTGGGCTCCGCTCTTCATGGGCCTCTCATGGGTCCACAGCCTCCTCTCAGCATCCCCTGCCCCATTCTGGGTCTCCTTCCTAGCCTGAGGTGATCTCTGCATCCCTGTGCCCCACTCTGGGCTGAGGTGATCTCTGCATCCCTGTGCCCCATTCTGGGCTGAGGTGATTGCTGCACCCCTGAGCCCTCCTGGCCTGAGGTGATCTCTGCACCCCTGAGCCCTCCTGGCCTGAGGTGATCTCTGCACCCCTGAGCCCCATTCTGGGCTGAGGTGATCTCTGCATCCCTGTGCCCTCCTGGGCTGAGGTGATCTCTGCATCCCTGTGCCCTCCTGGGCTGCAGGGGCACAGTTGCCCCACCAGGGTCTCTCCAGGGCTGCAGGGAATCCCAGCTCCAGCCCCTGGAGCAGCTCCTGCCCCTCCCTGTGCCCTGCCCTTGGTGTGTGCAGGGCTCTTCCTCTCACACATCCTCACCCTGCTCTTCTCTGGCTGCAATTACATCTGCACTGTAACTTTTTTTCCTTCCTATATTTGTTATCCCAGAGGTGTTACCACCTTTTCTAAATGGCCCAGCCCTGGCCAGCAGTGGGTCCATCCTGGAGCTGTCAGGGATTGGCTCTGCTGGGTATGGGGGAAGCTTCCAGAAGCTTCTCACAGAAACCACCCCTGTAGCCCCTCTGCTACCAAAACCTGGCCACACAAACCCACACAGCAGCAATGTTTTAGAGGCATAGCCACTTGCTGGCTGCTTTGAGGGCTATGAAATGCATTGCTGGTTCTGACACGTTTCTTAGGGGACAGATGCTTTAGAGAGTGTGTGAAGGATTAGTTGAGGGTGTTTGCTTTCATTGTGTTTGTGCTCCTTTATAACTTGTAATGCTGAAAGTTAAGCCTATACAAAGAGCACTGCACACTTCAGATGTTTTTCACATGGATGGTTACACTTTCTCCAGTATTCATGGCCAACAGTTTTGTGCAACACAGGTCCCTTCCCAGGAGCAAATTTGTTCCTCAGTTCGGTTATCTCTCTAGCACTGACACTGAGCTAGTGGGTGAAATTAGGTGATTTTGGTCTCTCTCTTCTTCTAGGGTTTTTATGTTTATATCACACAGTATTTGGTACAAGGTCTGTTTCTTATGTTCAGTTTGAGCCACCTGCCCTATAATAGTAAAAACGAATTCTTAAGGGTAAGGGAATTATACTATCTATACTTATAGTGTAGTATTTATGCTACTACCAAATGTGGTTTGATTTTTTTCTCAATTGTGTATTTAAGGGGTTCAGTGGGGTCTTTTGTACTGTTTTGGGGAGTTGCTTGGGTGAGTTTGTATTTTTTTTTATACTATCCTTTTCTTTATAGAGTTTTCTTTACTAAGAAAAGCTGAAGTTACAGGTTTGAAATGCAAAATGCTGTGTCAGTAACTAATACCACTACAACCAAGTCAAAAGGGGCTTCCACAAAAGAAAAACCTCAAACAACACATGTGACATGACAATATTTATTGATTCTAATTAAGGTTAAAAAAATTTCACAGCTGTCAGATAAAAATATCTGCAAGAGCCTATTTAAAAGAGAGCTGAAGAAGGAAACCAAGGGAGACAGTCACCACAGAGGCACTTTAGAAAATGCTACAGTTATAAAAGGCACAAATTCATCACACACACGCACAGCATATATATTCCTGCAAAGTGAAGTCACTCTTTTTAAATTTATTTTCCAAAACACAGAGGCAGGCACCACTGAGCACGGAGCTGCACAGGAGCACAGCAGACACGCCACAAGCGGCACTCTACGACAACGCCTAAAGGAATTCACTGCAGAGACACTGGGAAAGCCAGGCTGCTTTGGCTGCCTCATTTTTACACTCTGGTCTTCAACAGAAGGAAGATCAGGGTGATCTCAAGTTGGTGGAGACAGGAGAGGGAATGTTAGTTGGTTTGAACATAGGTCAGGTTTATTTGTCAATGTTTGTCACCTGTGATTTGAGGGGGGTTGCTTCTTGCCCAAGAGCAATGGCAGGTCTGTTATTTAATCTTGGCTCCTTGGAATTTCTGGAGGCCATACAATTCTTTTTCCTCAAAAATGTTACGTTTTCGTGTCTCAAAAAAGGGGGAAAAAATCTTAAAATTTCTGCACATCTGTAAAGCCTATTTCAGTGAAATATCAGTCCCACTGTGGACACAGAAAGATTTCTTTAAGCCCTATAGTTTCTTGTCCAGGCCATGGGTTCCAGTGATGGACAAGGCTCAGAGAGGAACTTAATTACTTAATTAATGTCTTTGTATTGACAGCAGATGTGCTATTTGGAATCAAGAGCTGCACTGGGGAAAAAATGCACAAATTAAAGGGAAGGCAAGGGGGCTGCCTCAGATTGCTCACATCCTTGTTATTGTTGAGTAGTCTATACAATTAGATTTCAATTACTTTGGTTAACACATTTTTATGCCCATCATTCCTTGCAATGTACAGTGGCTATCAGAACAGTGTACAAGAAAGTAAATTTCTTTTTTTCTTTTTTTTTGTAAACTCTTATGAGCATTACAAAATATGCATGGTAACACAGTTCAGTTTGTAAGAGACAAATGCAATTATTTCTATGGTTGTTCCTATAGTACATTTTACAAAGCTGGTAAACTCTTGGAACTTTCATGACAGCAGTTGTCTCATCAAATGTGTTAATTTATTAAGAGTACAGCACGACTGGTTATCCATTAAAACAGACTTCATTCCTCTCTTCAAAGGGTTGGCATGAATTTCAATTTAAAAAATGTAAGCCAGTGCTAAAAGTTCCCTCCAGCCACAGGGAAGCAGCTTGATTCTCTACCTCCGTTTGTCAATTCCCTCATCACCCTGGCATCCGTGTCCACAAGGTGCCACATGTTCCTTTTGTGTAGAAATGTTGAGAAAACAGTGGCAAATCCTTTTTTAATCCCATAGTGGTGGGAAGGTCCAGAGCAAAATCATAGCAAGACATGGCTGTAAAGACAGAGAGAGCTTTCCAAAAGCTTTGGCAGTCTGCAAGGAAGAAGACAGAGATGTCAGTGTGTTAATAGAGATGTCACAGTTCAGACTTCACAGTTCCAACCAGATTTGATTAGAAATCTCAGGGAAACCAAATTTATTTTGAATAAATCCCTGTCTCACCTACTTTAGTTGTGGCAGAATAAAATGAGAAATGCTTTGTGGGACTGCTTTATATTATTTTTTCCATTTTTCTTTCACTTTGAAACTAAGAATAAAAAAGTCTTATAAGTATAGAAACTTTTCAATATTTTTTTAATTGGCCAATCTCATGAAAAGCTTAAGTTATGATTCAGTTCAGTTTTAACTACCTAATTCCTGGTTTTGATTGGAATTTCTCCCCCTGTGTCCCTCAGTCTTGTTAAACTGGGAAAAACTGCCAGGTTCAGGAGCAAAGAAGAGAGGAATACAATTTGGATGTGAATAAAACCAATTTATCCTCATTAGTTTCATGAATTTGCTCCCATTTAGAGAATGTGGAGTATTTCTAGGGCAGAAGCAGGACCTGAATTCCAAGCAGTTTTGGCAGAAAAATCATCTGCAAATGCAGCAGCTCTTTATATTTAATCTATGTATTCACTGTCTAGCACTTACAAATATTGGGGCCAGGACTTCAAAAATGTCTTCCCAAATTTAGGTTCCTGTGTTTATTTCTGGCCTGAGAATTGTGTGAGTTGCCAAAGCTCTGAACTTCCCATTCAGCTTTCAGTTCCTAATTCATGTAGTAAATAAATCACAGGCAGAGAAAGCCACGTTGAAGCTCTCTGCAGCAGGCAAATGTCCCAGCAAATTAGAGCTCCATGTGATACAACCAGAGAGGCCATATGTACACTGCTGCACTCCTCCTCTGCCTTAAAGATCTTTATGCCTGAAAAGTTCCCCCATGCATGTTAAAAGGCTGTTATGAGCCTATTCATTTGTGATAAAATCCAAGCTGCTGCTCCGAGATGATGTTTAAGCAGCACATCAAGTTAAAAAGAACAAAACCTAAGGGCCAGAAAACAAGGTGCTGCTCACAAATATTACAGCTTTCCAAGCAGCTCAGTGCATTTCCATGGGACTATTTGGAGAACAAAGCACTGCTCTACAAAGTAAGATCAGATACTAGCCCAAAAAGTCTGCCTGAGACTGGTGATACAGCTCCTCACCGTCTGCTCACACCAGTTGCTGAAGTTATTATTATACTTCCCTCCATGGCTCTTTACTGCAATCCAATATTTTTTACATATAAATTGCTACTTCTGGAAGGGAGAAGTGCAGCAAACAGGCTCTGAAAAATTCCAGACATCTCCAGCTTCACGTGCACCAGTTCTTGTTCTCAGCCACACCTGTGTCTCCCTATTTCATCTTGTGCACAGGTAGCACAGCAGAAATATCCAGAACAAGGTACCAACACACTGACAAGTAGGCACTGAGGTTTTGGTAGGTGGATTTTTATTTTTCTTACTTCTCCCCCTACCCCTGCATACTGCCTTCTTTCTATATTCTTTTTTTTTTATTTATTTATGAGCAGTACCAAGCTGTGGAGAGCAGAGGCATTTGCACGTGACTCTGCAATCCACAGTTCCCTTTGATCTCACTATCATTCAGATCCCTTATTAGTTACCAAAAGTGCACAGTCAGTGCAACACAGCACAGCAGGCAGAAGTGGAACTGCTAATCCCATCAATATGGTAGTTAGGAAAGACCAAAACTCTAAATCAGCAAGACTGTGCTCAGCATGAAGCAAGAATTTGGGGGCAAATAAGTTGGGGTTTTTTTTGTTTTGTTTGTTTTTCTTTTATTTTGTTTGTTTAACACCACCCCTAAATTTTCAAGCCCATTGTGCCCTAGCAGGCAAGAGACAGCCTCAAGGTGCTCACAGGGACAGACAGACTCCACTGGACAGGAGCTCTGCTGTGCCAGGCAGCTGTGGTCACATCTGGGCAGCCTGAAATTCAACCACATTGCCAAACACAGCAGAACTATTGTCCTTTAGCTCACTGTAGGACATTTATGCCACTGGAAATGCCACCATCCTATGGTTACATAATTCAGATGGATAAATTTAGCCTGGCTTGTCCCTCAGGTGCTCCCTGGGTAAGAAATAAAAATACTAGTAGTTTCTTACTAGGCTTGCATTAACTATCTGATTATTCTGTAAGCTATGGGTTTCTTTTCTCAGTCTACCCCACAGTAAGGCAGAAATCCTTTGTTTACAACTAGAGATTTTGTTGTACAGTACAGTACAAATATAGTCCGTGGAGACTTGGGGTTCAGGGTCTGGTTCAACCTAAGAGTAAAACCAACCAGAAATCTCACCAGAAAAGGCTTCAGAGTGGTATTTCATCACTTCTGTTCTGAAATCTGGATTAAAATTTCAAGGTGATAACACTTGGTACCCCAGAAACTCAAAAACCAAGAAGTTCCTGCTAGAAGTAGGGCTGGACCCTAGGAGTTCTTTTTCAATAGGGATCCCTTTACTATATCCCTTCTATCTTGCCTATTTTCTCTACTGTTTTCATCTCTTCCTCAGGTTTTGGAGGCAGAAAATTACATGGGAAAAGAGAGACAAAAAGAGAGAGGAAAAGAGAGAGGAAAAGAAAAAAAGAGGAAAAGAGAGGAAAAAAAAGAGGGAAAAAAGAGGGGAAAAAGAGGGAAAAAGGAGGAAAAAAAGAGGAAAAAAGAGGAAAAAAAGAAGAAAAAAAGAGGAAAAAAGAGGAAAAAAGAGGGAAAAAGAGGAAAAAAGAGAAAAAAAGAGGAAAAAAGAGAAAAAAAGAGGAAAAAAGAGAAAAAAGAGAAAAAAGAGAAAAAAGAGGAAAAAAGAGGAAAAAATAGGAAAAAAGAAGAAAAAAGAGGAAAAAAGAGGAAAAAGGAGGAAAAAAGAGGAAAAAGGAGGAAAAAGGAGGAAAAACAGAGGACAAACAGAGGACAAACAGAGGACAAACAGAGGACAAAAAGAGGAAAAAAGGAGGAAAAAAGAGGAAAAAAGGAGGAAAAAGGAGGAAAAAAAAGAAAAATAGAGAAAAAAGAAAAAAGATTAAAAAAAAGAGGAAAAAGAAGAGAAAAACCCTTTGAAAAAAAGGAAAATCTCTCAATTGTGAGGCATTGAGCTGGCACCTTTTTTCAGTTTCGAACCAGGAGTCCCTTTTTGTAGGCAAACAACCCAGCTGCAGCCACAGAGGTGAGGAAAGTGGAAAATCCAATCAGCTTTAGCAGTCCTGGCACAGATGGCAAGTTCCTCTCCCAGAAGGTTGTGGTGATGGGCAAAGCTGGCACATCCTGTGGGGAGAGCATCCATTATCCACATACATCTCCACTGTGGGGAGGGATATAAATCAAGTTCTGTTCTGCAGCAGGAACAGAACTGGGTTAAAGCAGTAATATCTTATCAAGAAGCACTACATCCAGATTTTCTGCTCTGTTAAAGGGAGGAACACACACATGGAAAGGATTCACAGCCCAGTTCAGAACTGCAGCTCTTTCCAATCCTCCCTTACAGGCTTGTCACATGGGTTTCTCTCCTCTTCCTTTTTTAGGGAAGGGAAATTTTGGTGAAAAAGGGGAAGTTTTTTGTGGCTTTGATTCAGTGAACTTATATAAAAACAGACAAAAAATTTATCTCATCAGAAAAACAGCAGAAAAAACCCCAAGCCATTTTATCTACATAAGTACTTACAACTGATTCAGGTTCTGGCTTCCAAATTTCACTGTCTGGAATTTTCCTCATAGCAAACAGTATCTGAAAACAAACAACATTCTCAATAAGTACCACTGATTCTTCAAGACAGAAAAAAAAATTGGCTTCAACTGTTGTTTAAAAATGGCATAACTGAGCACATAAATCACAGTGTATTCCAATTTTAAAAGAAAACTCAACCTTTTACAACTTATTTCTGGAAAGGGCTGATAATTAATAAGACACTCCTCCTAGTGGAACACAGAAACAGAAAAATCTCTTTATTCTTAGTTAGTCCTTGCAAGATATTGGAATTTGGCCAGTCCCAGGGGAACAGGATAAAGTGATTATGACTAAGAGTTAAGCAGGCACTCATGGCAAAGCGAGGCATGAAGACACCAGCTACAGGGAACAGCTTGTTTTGCAAATTTTATCCTGATGTAGGAAGAGGAACAGTATCCTGGGAGTGATGACAGACCACTACTTTCAGCCAGAGAAAAGCAAAATTAAAACTAAAACCTTTGCAATGAGAAGTTCCCATTCAAAGAATCAAAGACAGAGATCAGTAGGATAGCAAAGACTGTTTGAAACTATATTCAGAGAAGATAACAAGATTAGTTTCTTCTACAGTGAAATAAAATGGAGATGGTGATAAAAATGTTTTCTCTCTTCCAGGCAATTGGAGATATAAGATTTAACATCTTTTACGAGGGGCTTTTAGTGTAGACAAGACTCATGGATAGTGTGAACTCTTCAATGCAGAAGACTGAGAAACACTGAATTTTCAACATGTTTTCCTTTCATAAGTAAATAGCAAAGGAAAACATCAAAATTTTTACCAGTCAAGTGCACCTATTAATCCTCTGCTGAAGAGGTTCTCCTGTGTTATATTAGAGGTCATGAGACCTCTGGATCTTTTCAGGAGCACCTTAGGTGTAACTTTCTCAAATAGGATAATTTATGAACAATTGATCTCTGTCTCTTGGGCATGGGCATGGGCTAGATGAACTCTCCACATTCCTTCCAGGACAATTTGTGTTCCTTGACTGGTTTTCAGCCACAAGGTTCCCTTCACCTCATAAAAAAAAGATTAAATTTCGTTTGCTGCTCCATAAATTCTAATGTTCTGGAAAATACTCAGGAAATTGGCATTTTTTCAGAAGAAAATTATCTAAGTCCTTGTTTAGTGACTCTTTGTTAAGGCTGTCTCAGTGGAACATCACTGTGTTGGAAATGCTGAGTGTGTGGAGTGTTGGAAAGGCTTGATGTGCAGAGTTGCAGGACTGAGCTGCTCCCTGCTCTGACAGCCAGGATCTCTCAGTACAGTGATTAACAGATTTGGGAGGAAAATGACTGGGGGACAGTTTGGGACTTCTGTAAAAGAAGAAAGAATTTAATCCTAGAAACAAAGGGAAAGTTTGACAAAATAGCCAGTCCCCTTCCTAACATTCCAAATCTAAGTGCAAAACCTTCATCCTTTTTGAAGTCAATCCCCTCTGCAGGGGTTTGCCTCAAGATTCAGAACACCCGAAGCTGTCAGCACTCAGTTCTCATTTCCCCTCTGTCACAGACATCTTTTATGAAAAATCCTTTCCTTAAGATTTTTCCTCCTGAGAAGCTGAGAGGCCTCAGGAACAAAATGTAAACAATGATTATCTGCTGCTGTGGAATGCAACAGGTGCATCTGGGATTGGGCCGTGTTGGATGTTTATAATTAATGGCCAATCACAGCCCAGGTGGCTTGGGCTCTCTGTCCGAGCCACAAACCTTTGTTATCATTCCTTCCTATTCTATTCTTAGCTAGCCTTCTGATGAAATCTTTTCTTCTATTCTTTTAGTATAGTTTTAATGTAATATATATAATAAAATAATAAATCAGCCCTCTGAAACACGGAGTCAGATCCTCGTCTCTTCCGTCATCCTCAGACCCCTGCGAACACGGTCACACCCCTCCAACCACAAGACCTTTTATTTTCCACAGGACATTTTACAGTGTCCCCTGATCTGTACCTCTCTGGCTGCTCTTTCTCCAGCCTGGACAGCCCCCTCCATGTACCCACTCCACTCAGTGGCTGTCTCTGTGCCAGCAAAATAAATCCTGCCAACGGGCTGCCGAATGATCCTGGAGGGGGACAAGCACAAAGTCACATCAGTTGCGTAAGGAGAGAACTGAAATAGCTGGGTTAATGCTGGAATAAAAATGTTTTAAATGACAGCAAGCACTTGAAGATAATAGCACTGGGTGAGTGGAGCTGGAGGGGGAGTCTGGGTTGCATTTAATTTCTTACATTGAACACACCAGTGTTCACATTTTTGAAATGGTTACACTGTTCACAGGTGAAAATGACAGCTACAGGTGAAAAGGACAACTATTTTGAGATGAGACTTACAGTGTCTCACAGTTCCAGCCCATGGCATAAGTACCAATGCCAGGCATTACTGGCACAGTGCAGCATTCTGAAATATATCCCCATAATATTTGAAGCAATAAGTAAATAAACAAAAAGCATTGTTTTAACTCTATTTTTGCCAGAATCTGTAATAATTATAATTTTAATTATAGGCCTCCATAAGCTCTTTGTTACAAGGCTTTATTGCTTTAAGTTACTTTTAAATTATAAGAACTTAAACTTCAAAAGTACAGCTCCCCTACCACATTAAAACCTGTGCATCTAAATCAAATCTTCAGTCTGAAGAAAGTCTTTTTCTTCTTGGTAAATCTTATTTTCATGCCAAAAACTTAAGTGGGAGAGGACTGTATACAATGGCATGCTGATCACTATATTAAGCTTTCACTGCTAAAAAGAAAGGAATGGTTCAAAGAAATCACTCATTACCATTAATGTCAGCAAGAACTAAGTCTCTGACAGTTTTTTTAATCATCAGCTAATGGAGTGATTGTAATGGTTACACTGATCTCAAACATCCAAAGCCATTTTTGTAAGCAGACTATGGAAGCTTCCCAATTCCCTTCCCAGAACTTCCTGAGCTAAACTCACCAAATAACAGGAGTGAATAAAAGCCCCTCATGATACTGAACTCATCCATCATAAGGCCCAACAGAGACAAGTGGAAGGTTATCCCATTTCAAACATCCCTCGGTGATCTTAAAGGTATGAAGTGAACAGTGACAGAGGATTTATGACCCTTTCTGAGGATATTTATTAACTTGGTCTTATCTTAGCACTCCACAGCCCACTATAAATAGACACTGTACCTTCCATACTGAGTCATTATGCCTGGTGGGAAGTAGGCTGTGTAGCAGCCCCCAGAATACTGCTCTTCACACCAGTTCTTCTCTTCATAATGCACAGGCTGTAAAACAGAGATTAATTCACTCAGGGAAAGGACAGAGTCTCGAGGAAGTTAATAACAGAACTGAGGAGAGAGCAGAGAAGAACAGTTTATCATTTGTTGCATGTCAACATCTGACAAGATGAGCACATTTAACAAATCTCTTAATGCAGCATGAACTCAACAGAATAAGCCCTGAGTTTTTAAAAATAAGAATACACTGTGTAAAAAACTAGTTAATCTGGCCATTGTAGAGCACAATCCTCTTAATCTGTCAATGTTAATTTATGATTTGTGCACATACTTTGAGCCATGTAAAGCAAAATTAACCTCCAGTGTATACAGTTGTAATGTGTACATTGGGTACAAATATACACTGTTAAAAATGCAAAGTGTGGCACTTGCATGGTTCTGTGTACAATATCATTGTGTTGAAAATCATTTGTTCTCCAGATTGGTGTCTACAGCTTTTAACTCTGTAAAATTGTTCTTAAAAGTACAAGTGGCAAAAATCACATAATCTAAGTGTGAGATCACACAAACCCTAACAGTCATTTACCTTTACTGGAAAGAGAAGGCAAGGGAAGGGCAAAAAAAAACCAACCCAAAGCATGCAGAATGGATTTTAACAACTAGTAAGAGAGAAGATACAACAAGAACAGAGAGGGAAAGCCTGTCACCTGTGACAACAGCTGAGGTTTAAGGTGGCAAGCACTGAGAATCCCAGCCATGGAGCTGGGCAAGAATATATCAACAAAACCACCTTTTAATGTTTCATTAATGTTCATAAAGATCTTTCTTATCCTCACTGTCAAACCCAACCCAAGGCTGGCCATAATCTTCTCTCCACTCCCCTGGTTGGCAGCAAATGCTCCCACAGCTGGTGCCTTTCCCAAAGGTGCCTTTCCAGGGATTTTGTGCTTACGTGTAAAGCTTCCTCTGATCCCAGAACCTTTGCATAGAGCTCACACAGCCTCGTCTTCCTGAGAGAGAAAAGCAACAGAACACTTCAGTGTGAGGAAAGAGAAAACAAATCACTTCTAATATACCCTGCCTCTAAGAGGACAAGTATTGTATCTGCTTGAATTTGAGGTTCCAGCTTTTTAGGATTTATCTCAATTCATCAGCCTCTGGATCACTAAAAATAACCTGAGCTCCTGTGCTGCACAAGTGCTGGTTTTCCAGCAGTTTTGCAAGCTGTTGTCTTAACATAACTCCAGCAAACCCTCAAATTACCCAAATGGTCTCCAGCCTGTCAGGAAAAAAGTAGTAAGGCATTTTTTGTCACATAGTCTAACTTACAGTTTGTTCCTATAGTATACTGCAGCTCTCAGGGAATCAGTACTTCATTTCTGTTTATATAAAATTTCCTCCTGTTTTAAGTCTATGAGTCTATAAATCACTGAATGTACTTCATTCCTGAGTCTTACTCTTAGCCATGCTGCACCAATTACCAAAAGCAAGAGGATCAGGATGAAATAACAATTCTGGAAAGCAAGCACAGCTCTGGAAAGACATTTACTTCTGGAAGAAAATCCAGTGCTCCACAAAAAGCCATGCTGGGCACAGAAACACAGGAGGCCCAGCTCTGAAACTGTGAGGACTCCTCTTTCAGCTATAAAAGCATGTGAGGAAACCACACATGATTGCTGCAAGAAGCAACCTAGCTCTACAGGAGCCCAGCTATGAGCAGCTGAACTCAAAGCCATGGAAAGAGGATGAAGAGAAACAGGATGACTTGAAGGGCCATGAAGGTGCCCTCACGTGCAGGTTGGAGATTGAACAAGAAATGAAGGTTGCTATAGCTCAGGAGGAGCTGTGGCCCTGGGGTGGTACTGCTGCTGGCTGGTGTCAGCCCAGCAGCAGCAGGGGGAAGGAAACAGCTCCTTCCTTTTGCCCTGGGGCACAGGACCAGGGTCAGCCTGCTCCAGAAGCACTGACAGGCCAGGAAGGCTCAGGCAGCTCCAGGACCTGCATATGAACATTCCCCTGCAGTTCAGGGGTGACACAAATCCAGTCACAGCCATAAGGGAAAGGGTGATTTCCCAATTTCTCCATAAGTGAGGTGAGCACTGTTCCCTGCAGACCATCAGCACCTACCCAGCGCCTGAACAGAGCAAAACCATTTTAACAGCAGGGTCCAGCCAAGCCTCTGCTGGTGTCTCACAAATGCCATCAATTCCTCCTTTCAGGGCAGGTCAGAAACACCACAGGGCTCCACAGGAAAGTGAGTTATCACCTTGGGACCCATCTGCTCCTCCCAGCACCATGCTAGGGATGAGAAAGACCCCTCTAGACCTGCCTGTGCCTTGTCCTTTTTCCACAATGACTTGTAGACCTGTCACATTCACATTTTCTGAAAAATCCCTTCGCCCAGGACTTTTCTCCTGGGAAGCTGAGAAGCCTCAGAGAAAACGGAAAACAATTCTTATCTCATTTGCTTCTCCTGTGCCATGCTTACATGTGGAATGTGTTTGGAGATTGTTTACCCACAGATGATTGTTTCATTGGGTTTCTGTGAATTGTTTTGACTCAATGGCCAATCAGGGTCAAGCTGTGTTGAGACTCTTGAAAGAGTCATGAGTTTTCATTATTAACTTTTTAGCCTTCTGTAAGTATCCTTTCTGTACTCTTTAGTATGGCTTAGTATAGCATTCTTTAATATAATATAGAATCCTAAAATAATAAATTAACCTTCTGAGAACACGGAGTCAGATTCATCATTCCTTCCTGCCACGGGGGTCCCTGCAAATACAATACAGACCCTCTAGGGAGCCTGGAAATGGCACACCAGTGACAGGTAGGTATTGTCACTTGTGGCCAACTGCAGGGCTCCATGAAGGTGCAAGTTCACAGCTGTGTGCTGAGTGCACTGCAAACACAGATTAGCTAGTTTAAGATAGCTGTGCAAAGGAAAATATTAAGCTTCAGGTCAAGGGCATCTTCGGACTCTTAAGAAGTGCAGACATTGGAAGAAATTAGTCATCAGTAACAGGGTATTATTTGACAAGAAAAAAAAACAAATGAACAAACAAAGCAAAAAGCAACAGTTTCTAAAGGATTGAATTGTATCAAGATAAATCAATCACTGAGAACATTACCCCTAATAAAAGCAACCTTTGCATCTTGCTGGTGTCTCTGCAAGATCTGCATTTTTTGTCCTAGTGAAGTTTAAAGAAATTCTTATTAATGGACTTTTAGTCAATGGTAGCATGGAACATAATAGCACTACATGCAGTAATATGCAGTGAGTAAAATCCCCATTTCTTGGCTTTGGGCTCAGCTGTGAAATTGCTATAAGCACTAAATAAGAGGAATGTTATGTCTGGTGGTACCAAGGTAGGCTCCTGTTGAGAGTCACACTGTGCCCAGTGTGGAGGAAGTGCAGACACAGCTCCTTTCCTGATCTCTTACTCCTCATCAGCATGTGATGCCATGGCCTTCACGCACAGCTCTGAGAGGCTGGGCACAATCTCACCCCTGCCACCTGACCTGGGACTGGCACGGCTGGAGACAGCAGTGAAATTCACTCCCTTCAGTCTGGCTTAGCTGCAAAAAGATTTCCATCCTCTCCCACAGCTTCCAAGTCATGATTTAGGACAGCTGCCACAGACTCTACATCCTACTCTGCATTGCCAAGGATTATCAAAACCCTCACCCTGTCCTCAGCACCATGAAGGGAGAGCCCAGGCTATGTTGAACACAGCATCTCAGCAAGGTTCACCCTCTGCAGGGTGTCACAAGAAGCTTGTGCTCAGAACAGATTCCTCCCTGCAGCATCACCGCCCTCATCTAAATTATACAAACTGGTTGCACCCTAAGTGTACAGTGGGAGAAGGTCTGGGCTCATGTTCTGCCTTCTCCTGCACCCCAAATTCCACTGGAAGGAGGGTTGTGCTCTTGGGGAGGACAGGAGCTGCTCCTGCCGTTTCTGGCTGTGGCCAAGACTGCTGGAGCCACAGGCAGCCCTGCTCCAGGGTACAGCCAGCACATTCCTGAACCATTCTTTACCAAAGTCCCTCCTAGCCCAAGGTTTATTCCACAAAAGAGTTGAAAACTCCTGTATAAAACCTGGCTGCTGGCAGCAGCAGAGTCAGGTAATTGTGCCAGTGCTTTTAATGGCCAGGGAAAAGGATGGAGCCTTGCAAACAGCCAGGACAGACCCAAATTTCACAGAAAGAAAAGCCGTTTTCAAGGACTGCAAATGCTCAGTTGTACTGAGGGTACTGACACACAGTGTAAGACACCATTTGGTGTTCAGGATGGCTCAAAATTTTGGGCACACTGGGTTTCAGAATACCCACATGACTTTTATCATCTGGCACCTGCTGGGCCTCTGTCTCAAGCCTCAGTGCTTGTCCATTCCTGCCAAAATTAAAAGGGCTCTGTGGTACCAGGCTATCATTTGAAAAGGCTGGGACATAAACAGCTTCATTTAGACCCATTATCCCCAGACTGCCAGACTATCTGAGATGACTGCATCTTCTCTAGTTAGACCAGTTATTACTGTAAAAATGTTTACTTGGGCACACTGCTCCTTTATCATATTTTAAAATCAAATGTATTTTCTCCCTGCCAAACCAAGGCTCCCCTCATAATCCACAGTTTCTACTTGCAGCTTTCATTTGATCAGATACAGTGAATCAGTGTGATGGAAAATAAAAAATCATTACTTTATGAATTCCATTTTAGTAATATACCAAAGAGCACTACTCTATGAAGGGATTTGTTTCAAGAAGACAGTAAAATGACCTTCATCTGTGCCTGAAGGGCAATTTTTTCCCCACACTGAGGGTCCAGAGATGGAGGCAGCTTTCTGACCCCTCAGTGATGCTGAACCTTGCTCACAGAAGCTACAGGTTCAAGTTGCACTAAGTTAGAGATACTGAAAGGACCCTCCAGGGTAAACAGAAAATAAAGATAAAATCAAACACAGAGGCCAAACCTTTCCCTTCTGACGAGCTTTCCAAGAGCTCAAAGCACCTGCAGGAAGCCAGGGAGGCAGCAGTGGGAGGAGGAGGCTGGTCCTGGACAATTTCCACCAGAATATCTACACTGCTTTCAGATTGAGCACCTTGGAGCTGTTCCTTAGAAATAATCACATATACAGAGAAGCCTTGTGGGAAAATAAGAACCAGGACCAGAGAGTTTCCAAAGGGCAAGAGCTGTGTGGGAATTCCATGGGTCCTTCATCCAAAACCAAGTAAGGCATCTTCTTCCCTAATGTCTGCCTACTGGCACAAGCTTACAGACAACTCCTTCAAATCAGGGCATTTTTTCCCTAAATAATAATATTTTTTTCCCCTAATAACAGAATTTTGACTCGAATTCCACCCAGATCTCCAGGGTTTGTGCTTACCTTTCTTCTTTGGTGAGACCTGTCAGTCTTCTGCACTTCCGAGCAAGAATAAAGCTGGAAGACCACAAACAATTTACTCCATTATGCTGCTACATCCCCTGCATTATTTAAAATGCCAATAACTTAGGATGAGGTGCTGTGATTCACAGTAATAGCTTTAGGGTCTCTAATAAAAACATCTATTTCACCTTTCTGCATAATGCTCTACCTGCTGCTTGCAGGACTCATTTAGGAAGGAACCACTCTGAAATTCATGTTAGAATATTTGCATGAGCTGTTTCCCAATTACTTTAATTTCATACAGCCTTGGGTGCAGGCATATAGCAATGAACACAACACCTGGGATTGAGCTGGAAATAGTTTTTTAATAAAACTTTTAAGACTGATCATATTCTCTGGTTGCTAAAATAACCAGAAGAAAATAAAATTTAATTCTAGAAAACAAATTTTCATTTAAAGAACTGAAGTACTTAGAAGTACATTTTTGCAATCACCCTCTTTTTCTTCTCTTTCCCTTCTCCAAGTTTGTAATTTGCCACACACAAAGGCAAAAGATTACAGTGATAAAAAGTAGAAAGTTAAGTAGAATTTAATTTTTTTAATTAGCAATAAAATCATAGAAAAAAATTTTGAAGTAAAACAATCCTAGAACATCACCATGCACTGAGAAACTCAACTTTTAAATATTTTTAAGTATTTTCTTTCAAAAGTATCAGGTTTTCCACTTGTTGCCTCTATGACAAAATAGAAAGCATTAACTAGAGAAGACATTTTCTTTATTCCTTACCCTATTATGGCAGGAAAGCTGCCATCAGGCTTAGTGTCATCAAGTGTTAGACCAATTGCAGCTTCCTCATCTTCAATGATCATGGTACCACAGTACCCTGGTAAGAACAAGGTGGAAAAGCAGCCATGACTCAAAACACAGGAGCTTCCAAGAAGTTGTAAAATACTCAGTCACCTCCTGCTTATCCATCCCAAACTAATAGCCAGAACATGTCAGGATCCAGAACCCTCAAGTTTATTTACAAAGGTGAGGGTGGGTGATATTTATAGGCAAATAGATGTGGGCTCATTACAGCCATTAATGAGAAGTGGGTGTTGCTGCATTGCAGTTTGCCTTGGATTCAGTGAATTCCAAAGGAGGAGTCATGATGGAAGAATTCAGCATGTCAGAGGAGCCCAGGATGACCGGCCCTGCTGGAGATGTCTGTGGGAAGCCATCTTCAGTTAACGCTGACCAGCCCATCCAGAAAGCAGCATTTTTGCAGACCCTTCCATCACACATCACTTGTACCTCCACAACCCTGCACAAGTGAGAGGGGCTCATCCCATACCCAGGTGCCACTCAGGGAGAGGACCACAGAACAACCAAGGCAATAAGCAACAGGAATGAATTCTCCCTTCATGACTATCTCCTTTTCTCATTCCCTCACCCTCCCTCTCCTCCCATCCAATCTCTCATGTTTCTCTCACAGGGGAAGGCAAAAAAGGCATAGAAGAATATGAAGTCTCCTTCTGAGGTTTAGCATGCTCTGAACAGAGTCTGTCCTGTTGCCAGGTACTCTCCTCCCTCTCTCTGTCACTACTATTCCTTTCCATTAAAATGCAATACCCTTCTTCCTCCAGAAAGTTTCCTTGTAGTATACGATGCATTTGATGACTGAGCCCATGGGGATTCTGTTGATGAGCTGGTTCCTCATTGGGGGCAAAGGTGGGTTGAAATGAATCTTCAAACAGAGAGCTGGGGGAATGGCACTGATCACGTATTTTGCCTGGAAAAGAAAATATCTATCAGCCAAATATATTCTCCCCTGTGGCATTCACATTCCCTGAAATAATCCCTTCGCCCAGGATTTTTCTCCTGGGAAGCTGAGAAGCCTCAGAGTAAAGGAAAACAATTCTTATCTCATTTGCTTCTCCTGTGTTTTGCTCATGTGGAATGTGTTTGGAGATTGTTTACCCACAGGTGATTGTTTCATTGGATTCTGGTGTGAGTTGTTCTGACTCTTTGGCCAATAAGGGCCAAGCTGTATCAGGACTCTGTAAAGAGTCACGAGTTTTCATTATCTTTTTAGCATTCAGTAAGTACCCTTTCTGTATTCTTTAGTATAGTATAGTATCCTTTAATTTATGTTAAAATATTATATATTCTTTAATATTTAGTATTCTTTAATATATAATAATATAAATTAAAGAATAATATATATTAAAAATATAATATATAAATATATTAAATGTATATATTTTTTGTAAAGTAATAAATTAGCCTTCTGAGAACATGGAGTCAGTTGCATCATTCCTGCCTTCGTTGGAGCATTTCCAGCAAATACAATACTCCACTACTTCAGCCCAGGTGTACTGCCCTAATGGTCTTGGAGGACATATGGGGAGGCTGCAGGGTGTATCTTGTGGAGCAATTTTGGCATTTAGCATAAGAATTGCAAAACTAAACCCTCACAAAATGCTGCTCATTAAATAACAAGCAAGCATTACACAAACAGCCATATGTTCAAATGATGGGCAGCTGCCCTTCCCTTGGTGTTTAAAAGAAGGCACTGTGCTCTAAGAGTCCACCAGTCTCCCATCCATCTGGACTCCTCTGTTACAACTTGGAAGCAAAGCTTGCAGTGTTTTTCACTGAAAGTTTGTTGCTAAATTACATTTTACACCTTACAATCACCCTCTAATTCAGAAGGTAACTGAACACAAAGAGATGCCAGGAAAGGAAAAGTCTGAACCCACACTTTGCTTTTAGGCAGCACTTTAAAGGTCTGTTAACTGCTGCTACTTCGGGACAATGAGAACCTGTGACTTTCTGTCACAGCCACTTAAATCTCTGCTGTATTTTTGTACTTTGGAGAAGTCAAAAAGGAAAAGCTAAAGGTTTTGTAGCCAGCACTAATGACTTCTTAGTGGACATGTGTAAGTCTCTGTCTGAAGTTTCCCTCATCTGCCTCACGACTGTCATGAAAGGGACAGAGATTGGGGACCACTGAAGAAAAAGAACCCTCGTCTGAAATTCTGGTCCTGCTTGCCAAGGACCCTGAGGCCTGAGCACACCTTCTGATATTTCTAAGCTATTGTTCACAGGTGTGTTTGCTGTATGCTACACTGAACCTGGTGAAAGGAGAAAAGGGGCACTTTGCCCTTTTGCAACAACAGACCTGGAATTTTTTCCACCTCTCGGCCTGACTGGACTTCTCCTGAGGTTTGGTTGGTCCCCACAGCAGACCCCTCACCTGTCTTACAACCGCCGTGACAGACAGAGATGGAAGAAGCCTCTCCATCAAGGACTGAGACATGAAACCCCTATGTGAAAAGGCCCCCCTGCTCTTTCCAAGGACTGGGACTGAGACTACCAACCTGGGGGAGGTGTGTGGGGGAGGCAAGCTGACCAAAGCAAGATGGATGTTGCAGGTGTGAGCAGTGAACCAAGATGACAATGGTTCTCACCCACTGCTGAGAACATGGACTGTGTGTACCCTTCTCTAAATACCATTTTCCCCAGAAAATACAATAGACCACCTTTGATTTGGTTTCAAGATTCATCCCCTTCTCCCTTAAAAAAGGAGTATAACAGGAGCTCGAATGGACTGGAACCTTGAGATCTCCCTGGACGTGACCTGGTGAACTCCATCAGCTGGACATCGAAGGACTTCACCATTTCTACATTTGGTAGCTATATCCCTTCCTTTCTCTTCCTCCCTCTTTTCCTTTTCTTCCCTTTTCCCCCAATTCCTCCCCAACGCATTTTGCTGTGGTCATTCAATAAAGGCACATTGGTTTTTGATTACTACTGCAAACCCCCTGTGCCACGTCAGTTTTTTGCACTCTGGATGAATTCATGAACCATCATGAAACCCCTTCATAAGGACAGATGGTGACAACATGGCATCACCTCATACAGCTCGTGGTCCAGGGTCTCCACGATGACACCATCCCCAGACTGATCGATGCGCACCACGGGCTTGCGCAGCCTCACCCGCCCGCCCAGGCGCTCCATCATCTTCTCACTGATCTGCCCAGAGCCCCCAACAAACTTCCTCTCCTGAAACACAGACAAACAGCTCAGCAGAGCAGTGCTTGTGGAGCGTGGATCATGGCAAGCATTTTTGTCAGCACTCAAAACAACCCCTCTTCTTCCATTGTTATCAAAACATTTTTGGGAATTTTTGCAGTTTTTCCTCTCCTGAAACACAGTCACGACAGCTCCGCAGAGCAGTGCTTGTGGAGCATGGATCATGGCAATCATTGCTCTCAGCATTCAAAACAACTTCTTCCATTGTTATCAAAACATTTTAGGGAACTTTTGCAGTTTTTCCTCTCCTGAAACACAGAATGTTTTCCTCTCCTGAAACACAGACACAACAGCTCAGCAGAGCAGTGCTTGTGGAGCATGGATCACAGCAAGCATTGTTCTCAGCATGCAAAACAACCCCCCTTCTTCCATTGCTATCAAAACATTTTAGGGAATTTTTGCAGCTTTTCCTCTCTTGAAACACAGAATTTCCTCTCTTGCAACACAGAATTTTTTCCTCTCCTGAAACACAAATACAGCAGCTCAGCAGAGCAGTGCTTGTGGAGTGTGGATCACGGCAAGCATTGCTCCCAGCATTCAAAACAAACCCCCCTTCTTCTATTGTTATCGAAACATTTTTTGGGAATTTTTGCAGTTATTTCTCTCCTGAAACACAGAATGTTTTCCTCTCCTGAAACACAGACACAACAGCTCAGCAGAGCAGTGCTTGTGGAGCGTGGATCACGACAAGCATTGCTCTCAGCATCCAAAACAAGCCCCCTTCTTCCATTGTTATCAAAATATTTTAGGGAATTTTTGCAGTCCCTGGAAGTGCACCCATTTTACTTTATCTTTCCTTCAGCTTTTTAAATCCTTCCCCTATATGACCACCATTTGAACTCTTGTCAAAAGTAAAAGTAATAGTAACTTTGGAAGAAAATCCCTTCTCCAAATGTGGTCTCCAAAGAGATTCTACAGGCCTGTGTGAATCAGCAAGACTTCTGAAAAGTGCTCAAACTTTCAAACCTTTCTCTGAGCTCACTCATCCCTGCAGAGCTCTGTGTATCAGAAACAGGAAACCTGATCTTCATAATAAATAACAAGGTATAAGAAGTCACATAGCTCACATCAAAAATGTCTGCTGCACTATGTAACTCAACCCAACTTAAACTCAAATAATCTCTAACATAGTACAGAATTCAAATAATATTTAATTAAACATATTTAACTTAAATTACCTACAGTAATTGCTTGTCTATGCATATTTATACATTTTAATATGGTTAATGTATTTGCATTTTTATTTATGATTAAATAATTAGCATTTCTAAAAATATATCAATTTCTAATACAATTAGTGAAATTTGCACTTCTCAAGTAGAAGACCATTAATAGTGTCTTTACTTTCTTCAAATGCAGAAGCAGCTCTAATGTACCAGATTGCAAACATTTCAAAGCAATACCATATTTAGGGATGTTCATTTTCTTTAGAGTGATCTTAAAATCTTAATTGTGTTAATGTTTGGAAATTTGTTTCTTAGGAACCCAGCTCTGGGCTACAATTTCAGTGTTAACTTGCAGCTGACATTGCCACCTCCATTAAGTGCTTCTGCAGTGCTAAGGATGGTTCCAGCATTGTGACAGAAATAAGCATAAGTAAAATTTTCTCTTTTCAATGAGGATAAGCAGAGTAAATGCTTTAATCTGTATCCAAAAAAAAAAAAAAAAAAAAGCCAGATACAAATCTCCTGATCCCTGGGGGCAATGCCATCAGTAGGGAGCAATCTCCAACACTAGTTTTGCAAGATTCAGATTCAAGAGTGAATGAACAAAACTAGTTATCAGTGTGCTACTTGCTCAAAAGTCATGGATGCCTCTGGACTAAAATAAACCAGCAAGAAAATGAAATTAAACCAGGGCCTGCCCAGAGCTGCAGGAGGTGATGGCTGACAGTACCAACCTGGCCCCCGTTGGTTGTGGAGAAAATCCGTGCTGTGCCCCCACACTGCTTCACATACCACAAAAACCAAAGGGCAGAGACCTCGTGGGGCTCAGAAGTGACATCCACGTTCACAAACAGAGTTGCAAAACTCTTGGCAGCTCTGCAACGAAGACAAAAAATCTAGTTAATTTAAAAACAGAATAATGCTGACAAGATTGTTCTGGAGTAGGCAGGAGCCTCTCTTTGGCAGCCTTTTCTTTCGCTGAGGGGGCAAAGGATTCCTTAATTTCAGCTGAAGTAAGGAATTATCAATTCCTTTTATGCAACATTTTTTAAGTAATCCTGCAAAAAAATATTAATGAAGCACTCCTGTATTCCAGAAAAATTAGGAAATTGAGAGACAAAGCCCAAGATTATATCACTTTATGCTACTAGTGCAAAGTCAGCCTGTCACCCTAGCCTCAGGACTAAGCACAGCAAGCCCTCCTGTCTTCACTGGACTCCAAAACCACCCTGTCCCCAGTTCCTGGGTTACAAACCAGATCTGCATCTCTCTCTGCCCCTGCTGAGAGAGATGCCTGTCCCCTCAAGAACACAGCACAGAGACTATTCAAAACCCACCATAAAAAAAAGTTAGAGGTATTTTCTAAGCTAATTGTCTAACATCTGTGGATTAGTCAGCACCCATTCACTGCCCAATCCTCTGCTCAGGGAGAGTTTTGCAGCTGGAACACAACAAGGAAAGAAATGTAAGTAGGAAGCCATAGCAGAAGTGACAGCATTCATGCCAGAGTCTGTCAAGAAAAAGGAAAGGATACTTTTGGTAGCTCAATTCAGTATTTTAAAGTGTCCTGGTATCCAGTGGCAATGAACACAGAAATAGAAAATTGACCTGTGTCTGAAAAGGAATCACTGCTTTATGTCCTGTAACCTGTTCTTTCATAGGAGCTCTACTGTAAATTACTCTATGAGCCTGTACAAGAATTTGGGGTGCACTAAGACAGAGCTAATTAAGACGCAGGGAAATATTCCTCCTGCTATAAGTAAATGCTTCCCTCTGCCTTAACTTCCTCCTCTGGAGGAGTTTAAAGACACAAGAAGAGGACCAGGAGATGCTCATTTTAACTGTATTGTAACTAATTGGGATGAAGATTCTATAGATACTTCATATGGAAAGCATCAAAGCCAGTGCAGAATCCACTTCTGGTTGCTTCTTTCTTTTTTTTAGTCTTCAAACTTAAAAAAAACCCAAAAACCATAACTTTAACATACTGTTTTAAAGAGCTCTAGATCTATACAGAAAAAGGAATCTTCTTTCCTTTCTAAAAATGCGAAGTCCCACTCAAGCACAAAGCTGGACCATTTTCTGAAATATGGTTGCATAGCGAATTCATTTTTAACAGCCAAAAAGAATACAGAAATTGTATAAGTTTTTCATTTGTATAACACATACTGTAAAATACTATCAAACCTATGAGATATTTTGCCTAGTGTGCATGTATTTATTAATATTTTATAAGCAGATGCTATTACATGGTGGTTACCCTCTACCAGATTTTGTCACCTTCTCCCATTGCTTTTCAGTTCTTGATGTTTTATCTAGAAATGACAGTATGATTTCAACCAAGAGCACTCAGGATATTTCCAGCAGGCAACTATAGCCGAAAGCAAACCTGTACAGTTTGTTAGATAAGAGGAAAGAGTAAAAGATCGCCCTTCTGGATCATTACCTTCCAGGGTGGGACATTTCTGCTGCCTGCTACCTCAATCTTGAACAAACAGAGCAAATCAAGCCAAGATGCACATATAAAATCTGAAAAGCATCTTCAGCTTATGCCAATATTCAGGTAAAATGTCAACTCTTATTCTACCAGAGCTGGGAAAAGCATGACTGCAGTCACATGAGCTATGTGAGGATGTTGAGTGAGCACCAGTGAGTGATGTTTTGCTCACTTGCACAGCTCCTCACCCTGTCCAAGGCTCAGAGGGCCAGCACAGCTGTCAGCACAAATTTCCATTTGGTTTTACTCAATATGGACCATGGCACAAATGAGAAATGGTTTCTACATGCCTCTGTGCAATCGTCACTCTTGTGAAAGCAAAACCATGAACCAGAAGATTGCAAGGCTGTTGTTTTTGGACAACAGTCTGTTTTCCATTAACAATCACAGAACTATGGAATGGTGAAAGAACTTAAAGTGTCCTTTATCACTTCCAGCTCCAACCTCCCTGTCATGGGCAGAGACACCTTCCACAAGAGCAGGTGGCTTCCAGCCTGCCCTTGGGCATTTCCATGGATGGGGCAGCCACAGCTTCTGTGGGCAACATGGGCCAGTGCTTTATCATCCTCGTGGTAAAAAAATAATTCCAAATATCAAATTTAACCCTGCCCTCTTTCAGTGTAAAGCCAGAACCCCTTGTCCTATTAGTAATGTCCTTGTTCACAGTCCCTCTCCAGCTCTCCTGTAGCTCCTTTAGGCACTGGAAGGTGCCCTAAAGTCTCTCTGGAGCCTTTTCTTCTCCAGGCTGAGCAATCCTCTCAGCCCATCTACACAGTAGAGGTGCTCCAGCCCTCAGATCATCTTTGTGGCCTCATCTGGACCCACTCCAACAGGCCCAACATTAACAGCAAAGGCCATGTTGCTCTCTAGAGGCTGCCTGAAGCCATAAAAATGTCCCATAAAAATGTCAGTGACAGCACCAGCCCAGTGGGCACGGACAGGTTTCTTCACCAAGCTCCAGCTCACGGCAGCCACGTGTTGGATACTCAGCAATTCTGAGGAGGTTGCTGTAGAAATCAATTTGCTCTTCAGCAACCAGGATTAATGGGTTTTTTTTTTCCCTTCAGTGAGAAAAAAAACAACCAAACTGCTGTTGAATGGCAAGTAAAGAAAAATTGCTTTGATGTATACATAAAAACAGGAAGCATTTTCAGTTTCCCTATAGTGCAACAGCTAAACAATAGAATGATGAGTTCTAAAGTGATTTAGTACCGCTGAAAGACAAATGTTATCTTTACAGCACTTTGGCAAAATCAGCTGGTCCAGCACAGAATAAATGTGTGTTGTTCCATCAAGAGTTTGATTCAAAAACCTGCTGTAACCATTACACTTTTCTCTGAAAGGCTGAACACACAGTAAAGAGCAGGAAAGTGCACATAACAGATTAGGGTACTATCCATCTCTTCAGAAATAGCCCTTCCCAAATATATTTTCTTTTTATTTTTGTCTAAAAAGTTAGGGAAAGGTAACAGAATCTACTGATTGTGCTGACAGGTGTCATGGTCCATTATTACAGAACTTTCTCACCCTTTTCTTTAAAAGTGCTGCATTTTAGTAATAGCTATACCTGTTTGAAAAGCAGTAATGCTTATTTAGCTCTAAAGTATATAAATACAAGCCATTATATTTCACATTAAAAAGTTTCTTACTTTGTCCAGCATACTTTATCTATGAAATCTTGCATAGTCATTTTGTCCCATTCTTCTGCACGTGGAGCCTTCCATGGAGCTTCATTGGGAATCTAAGGAGGGAGACAAAGAAAAGCATTTATCAGCAAGTGAATGAGTGCCAAAGAAATACAAATAATCTTGTCTTAAAATGCAAACTCAGCCTGCAAATTTCTGGCAGGTAACACTGAACAGAGAATGCTTTTGGGGGAGGGGGTTTTTTGTTCGCTTGTTTTAACGTTTTTGGGGTTTTTTTAGATTGAAAAATAGAGAACAGATTTTGAGTTAAGAAATGTCTCTAAGTCATTCCATATCTCTCACATTTATCCAGACAAGTAAGAGCAACCTCTTCTCAAATTTTGTAGCTCAGTCAATGGAAAACCGGTAAAAAACTAGAACAAGACAAGAATGGATTCTACACAGGTTGAATTTCAGGGTAGAAAAGGTCAAATGTTTGAGTTCTGCGAGCTTCTTAAAATTTCACTTACCAAATCATCAGGAAAAGTGGTAAAAATCAATCACAGGCATAAACTCTGACATTCCCACAGCCAGAAAAATGAAGGGATGTGTGCAGAAAGCCTCAGCAGCACAGGGCTCAGAAGAGTTTGCCAGGAGGCCACTCTCAGATGTGCTCTGGCCATCAAAATGTGTGGCTGCTCTTGGCAGCACTGGGTTTGCCCAAGGCAGAACAGCTCTTCCTGTCTGCACCCCAATCCCTTCCCTCTGCCCCTCATGAGGACAAGCTGATCTCATTCAGCTGCAATGCGCATGCCATACCTCCTTTCCCATCTCATCCATGGTCCTCCATAGGTTGTTGTAGTCCAGGTAGGCCAAGGGATTCCACATAGGGGGGAATGGGCCTTTAAAGGTGTAAGATTTACCCTAAAGGATGAAAAACAAAAAAAACCCCACATCATTTAAAACCCCAAAAGACAACCACAATCATGGGTTCCATGCGTGGGAAGCGGCACCAAAAGGTTAAGTGTTCACAAAAAGCACAAATTTAATCAATCCATGTGGCAGCTTTCTTTCCATGTGACCCTATTCATGGGTCACTGTCTGTGTGCGCAGGACACAGGACAAAAACACAGGACATGCCTTCTGAACATCAGGAAATGCTTTTTCACCATGAGGCTGCCTGAGCACTGGCACTGATTGCCCAGAGAAGCTGTGGTGTCTTCCATCCTCAGAGACACTCAAAGGTTACCTGAACAAGATCCTGGAAATCAGCTCTGGGGGGTTATTCTGTTATTCCTGTTCTTCTGCACATGCAATTTGGTGTGATACACAGCTGAATTAGCAAGTCAGACTTCAGCAAGCCAGTGCAGAACTGATAATTTACCTTCAAAACTTCACATTCAGCAACTCTGGGCAACCAAACTGCATTAGAGTCACTAATATCAGTCCAAAAAATGAGATGAAACAACATGGTTTGACTGAGTTGAAAAATTGGCTATTCACTACTGAGAAGGAGTTACATATACACACACACATATATATATATATGTATTTTACTTATTTATTTTACTTATTTTCCCCTTCTAATTGTTCATGAAAACACTTAACAGTTAATTGCATTTAGCAGTTTGGTTTTTTGTTTTTCAAAATCAGACAAAAGTAGATGTGGTGTTATTATACACTAAATCATAGCTCAGAGACCTTCCTGGGGAAAAAAAAAAGTCTCAACTAACCTAAAAATTACCAGCACTGCAGAAAATGTAGCATTTACTGAGCAGACTCATTTTTCTAGCCCAAGACCCCTAACTGTAAATTACAGAGTGGGACAGTGTGACCAATCCCAATGTCCTAATTACACCATTACATATTTAATAGTCAGATTTTTTTGTATCTAAAGCTCTATTACTAGATGTTCAGAAAGCCTAGCTTAATTAAGAGTGGAAGACAATGGGTAATTTGTAGAGCTGTTTTATTTACATGGGATTTCCCTGTCTGACTATATGGATGGCAGCCTAATAGCTTTAAAAATCCACAAGGCTCATTAGCATTATCTGGGTACTTATTTTTTCACAATGCATTATGGAGTCCATAAGATAGATAAATAATAAAGGCCATATTGAATGCCACAGCTGATGTTTCAAAATTTATATTAAATTATGTATTTAAGTGTGGACTGCATGAGCATGAATATCAAACAGTAGAAGTACTAACTTTTAATAGATATTTGATGCAGTGCCACACCAATCCATCACTAAAAACGTATTTACACTGGCTTAACAAAATCATACTGCAACAAGATTTAATATTTATAACCAGGTAACAACAACAACAACAACAGTGTCTTTTTGAAGAGAAGTATCCAAAGACCACTTACTCAAAGAATTGTCAGGCCTGATTTGATTTAGGCTCTTTATTAATACTGTGAAAGAAGGGACACAGAGCACATTATTCTAATCTGCAGGTGTCTGCAAGCACTGGAAGATACAGTAAAAGGGCACAAAGGGATCCTGAAACACTCCAAACTTGGTCTAGAAATAACAAAACAAGATGTAACTTTGAAAAATGCTGGCTAATAACTTTGAGAACTTTCAATTAAACAAAAAGGATACTCAATAAGTAAGAAAAAAATCAGACCTATGAATAAGAGAAAATTAGTTTACAAAACTCCCAAATAGGTCAGAGAAAGTGAAGAAGAAACTGTTTTTTCATCTGGTCTTTATGGACAGAAGACCCTAATGGAATCCTTGTCAAAAACACCAAGGCAATGAAATTTAGGAAGAAAGCAAAATGTAGAGGAAACTATTTAATTCTTTGGTAAATGGACAAGAAGTCGCTACAAGGAAACAATTTAATTCTGCAGTGCTTTGGAGGATAAATTATTGTTTTTACAATGCCAAAATCAAACTTTTAGAAGTTTTCAATCAGAAGTTTGTCACAGCCAGAGTAGATTTCCAGTCACTTCATGTGCCAGAGGCACCAAGGTTGGCACCAAGGTTGGAAACCCAGCACTTCCAATTTAAGGATGGACATTATGGCACATGTTCACCCAAAAAACAGAGGGTTGTCTTTATTTTTGTTTTTCATTCAGCATGAAAAAAATGTGCATTTCCACATTTTTTGTACTCAACTGTATGAAAATATTGGAATCAGGAAAATAAAATCTGGAATCAGGAAAATATATCCCTGTAGATGGAGATGAACAGAAAAAGTTTACTTCATCAGAGGCATTTGGTTCTAGTATGAACATCTGGGTATTACTATGGAATCTCTTCACATAGAATCAATTTTCACTGGGGCACACATCAATTCAAACTTGGCTGCCAAAGGGCTGTGAGAGAAGAGCAAAACCTCTCAGACCAAGTGCCTTCCTGTCCCACGTGATAACATCTGAACCATATTGGAAATGATCTTTTAGATATTTGGGGCACATTAAAATTCCATAACTAGCCCTATGACCTCAAAAAATCAGTTTTACTGTGACTTCTGCACTCTGGAGCCTTCACCAGTGCCAGCATCCTGCAAGTATTCCAAAGCCAGAGTTTATCAGTTTGGTTTCAAGTACCTGCTATTTCCCAAATATAGGTTATGAAACAAGTATACTGCTGTGCTCAAGAAAACCAGGACAGCATCAGAATGGGTTATTCTAATTATTGATTTTGTTCTGAGCTTCCTGATCTGCCAGAGGCAACCCTAACCCAGTTATCCCCTCTGAGTGAACTCAAGTCTTATGAATTCCCTGCAGTGCTTCCTGATGAGCACAGGCTGAGAGACACACAAACCATATTTCTGTTTAGCTGTTCTTCTATTTCACTGCATTTGAACTGCCAAAAGCAAAACCTTGGCTATGTCTCTTGTGTAGGAATCTGGGGTGGAAGTCTCACAAAGAACACAAACTCCTACCTGAAAAAAAATAAAAACAGCCATCAAAGTTAGCGAGTTTCCTGTGAAAGTTATTTTCAAGAGCTCCTAAGTCATCTCCTAAGGCCTGATCCTTATTTCTTGCACAAACAGAACTCCAGGAACTGTCAATCAGAATTTTTATTGAGAAGAGACTGCCAGACTAGGCTCTACACAGAAGCAAAATTAGCAGCAGCAAAGACAGACTACAGATGGCACTGAGTAGTTACCAACAAACCAAAACATTTCAGCTTCACTCGTGCTGAATTTGCATTTTTGCAAACACAAAAACCTTTTTGATATTTAGGCAAAATTTGCTTATTTGCTGGGAAAAGCATTCTCTGTGCCTCCTGGTGGTGTGTAATCTCTAAAGAATAACAAGGCACTTGCATGCTTCAAGATGCACAAAACATTTCCTTTTCAAATATTTTTATACCCAAATCATAGCTGTATAAAACCGTCAACAATAACCACCATTTCCAATCATTTGACATGGCATTTCAACACCAGTTCTATGATGCTCAGAAGTATTTCTTGCCCTTTTTTAATTTGCATATAAAATTTTAGAAATGGTTTCGTGATGCCACTTGCTATGCTCCAAAAAACCCCACAACAGCAGCATCAGCACTGCCATTGCATGGATCACTTGCTGCTCACAAGGGCTCTTGCTGCAGTGGGGGCTAAAGCTCACTGAAGAAGATGAAACTAAAGGGAGGAACCTCTTGCAACCCAGCTGTCCCAGGAATAAAACAGCAGGGAAATGAGAAACCCAGTGTTTGTCACAAACTTTACAATTCTCAGTAGATTTTCCTCAGCCATCTGCTTCATGTCAACCAAGATTTGCCTGAGTTATGATGGACCCGTGTAAGTCGTGCAGAAATAAGATTTCTTTATGCACCAGGTCTGTTTCAGCTCAAATAGCTGGCTTAAGGAATGGGTTATTACAGAGGGAAAAATCCCACAACATGACAACTGAATATCAGCAGCCCCTTGAATATCAGCCCCAGCACTCAGGGGGGCACAGGGACCAGATCTTACGGGCCTTCTCCTGTGAAGGTGACAGTGAGCAAATGGGAAAGGACTGCCAGGAAATATCAGTGTCTTAATGCAGAGTGGGATTCTCGGGAGAAAATCTGCTTTTGCAGGCCCAGGACAACGTCAGGCTCCCCTAAACATTATGCACCCAGGCGGTGCCAGAGTGAGATGCAGCACTGTGAAATGAAGCCCCTGGTGACAATGATCCATGCATTTTTCATAGCACAGTATAAACACCTTATAAATAAAGTCAGCTCTCACTGAGCACAAATATTCCCTCAGCTAAACCATCTAAACCTTGGACTAACTGAGGCTCACTTCAGCAAGACTGTCACTCTGAATGTTAATTCACAGCTAGACAGGTTTATTGGCACGTAGTGCCCTCTGCTGATTCACAGCTCTGGTACAGCACACACATCCCATTTTCTCATATTAAAATCCCAGTAATGTCATCCATACAAAGCTCAGGAAACGTAAAACCCCAAGCTGTAACAAGGAAAATCAGAAACAGAAAAGCATCACTTCAGGCTGTAACTCTGTACCTGTCTCAGATGCTGCTTCTCCTCTGCTGCCTTATGGAAAAGTATAATTTTGGTCTGGTTTTTTTTGAGGGGCGCTTTTTGGGGTGTGTGCGTGTGTTTGTTGTTTTTTGGGTGTATATGTGTTTGTTGTTTTTTGGGAGTTTTATGGTGGGTTGGGGTTTTTTTGTTTTTAATTCTAACAAGACATTTTTGAGACTAAGCCTCTTGTATAATCATAATTCTGAATTTAAAAACGGCAAGTAGCCGGACCAAAAGGAGAGGGATTTTACAACCTACTTAGAAACTGTAACAGAGCTGAGTTTCAACAAAGCTCCCTTCATTACAAAGCTGTTCAGGATCTCAAATGCTCAGCTGGTTACTATACTGACAGATATTCTAAAGATAAGGATCTATAGGTTAAAAAATTTAATTGAAGCAGAAAAGACCTTATAACTGATGGTGCAAAGCTAG